GGGTGGTGCCGTGTCTCTCTCCTACGTCCATTCCGGCAGCTGGCCAGATCAGATCACCTCATGTCCCAGCATGTCTTGTTGCATCTCAGGTTGTTGCCACGTCTAGGTGTGCCTCCCCACTTGTTTGCCTGTCTCTTGAAGCGTGTGGCTCTCGGGCCATGGCCCAGGGTTGTTGGTCCCCTGGAGCTCACTCTTACCTTGGGAGGGCTGCCCATGCTGGGGCAGAGTGAGGGGCCCTGCTCCTTGCCCTGCAAAGTGCCATCACTGAGAGGGCTGTCCCTGTTTGCTCTGCCCCCATTCGCATCACGGGAGAGAGGGGGGTTCAGGCCCCCTCGGGGCAAAAGAGCACCTCCTACCCATCGCCTGACAGATACAATGCGAGCCAGACTGTGCCCCGACACCCTCCCAGCAGCCGCTGCCGCAGAGTCCTGCCGCACTCGACAACTGCAAGACAGAGTGAGCACCGTGAGGAGACGCCAAGAAACGGGCCCAGGGGAACGGACGCCTAGAGGCTGACGCGGACTAAGGGACCACAACCACAAGATTAGAAGAGAGACCGGAGCACTGACACAAGGCCACAGACAACCAGACCAAGAATGACGAGCAGGGCACACACAACAGCAGAGGAACAGAGGAGACATAGATGAGCAGGGCGGACGAGAGTGAGAGAAGACACAACAGAAGGACCAAGAGCCTCATCACCATGAAGAAGACATGCACAGACACACTGCTAGAAAGAGGTGGCACCCGATGTGCACAAAGCGAGAGGTGCCGAGATCCATGGCAATATATTGACAGACAAACAGAAACAGGGACAACTGGACACACTGTGATGAGGGGCAGCATGGCTGAAGACGTGGAGCCCTACACGGACTCCATCCCAAGACACCATCTGCAACTGGGACAAGGACCCAGAGGGACAGAGGAAAGACACAACTACTGCAGGAGACACAGAAGGTGCAAGGAGGCACCCAGAGACACGGGCAACAACAGTGTGAGCCACAGAAGCCAACAGGGAGACGCCCCGAGACTCCACGCTATAGTTGCGCTCGCCCACTGGTCTGGCCAACAGCACTGGGCGCAGACACACGCAGATCGTGGCCACGCACCAAGCCACAATCCAATGCTCTGACGCAAGCAGTCCAAAGAACCCATGCTGACCCCAAGATGGCCACATCAACACACCCAAAGCCACACACACAGCCAGCCACTTGACACCTGAGGCCACCATGCCCAGACACGCTGACAGGAACCTATGCCAGTACACCCTCCCCCAACACGCTGATGCCACGGCACAGGCGCTCTCGCATCTACACGGGAGACAGGGGTGCTCGCACAGAGAGCAACATGTGCATGCCAAAACCAGAGAGAGAGCAAGCACACGAGAGCGCCAGCGGGACAGGGAAACAGAAAAGGAGAAGCTGGCAGTCACAGGGAAGTGGACAGGCACCGCAACAAAACAGCAGCGGGACCTCTCTCCCCATGGGCCGCACAGGAACCTGCCCTTCCCTGCACCAAAGACGAAGACGGGCTCCCGCATGCGCACTGAGGGCCCCCCTGGCGACAGCCCACAGCCCCCCCCCCCCTCCCCCCAGTGTAAGTCAACCCCTGTGTGCTGACACACTACTGTTTGTTTACTGAAATAAAGTAAGTTGTTTTCCTGACATAAGTTATCTTCCTGCAGCACAGCTCCTGCAACAATACCCTTCCAGTTAGCGACATACACACACCCCCCCCGTTGACAACACAGGGCGACAGGAGCGGCAAGGGAGAGACAGGAAAGGAGGATGATTGGGCTTTGGATTCGACCCCCCCAGCTACAAGGCCGTAGCACACACCAGACCAGGACAAAAGAAAACCCACGCCAGACCACAATAGATTACACCAGACCAAACCACAATGGAACCCAATAGACCTGACTAGGATGGACTAACCCAGCGCCGACAACCATACAACAGGTTAAAACACAATCGACGGGGATACAATAGACCAGCCATTATCAGATTTCACCTGATTTATTAGAACACAAGACAACAGACCAGAACAGAGGAGAGAGGGAAACAGAACCCAACAGCCTAGACCCAAAAAGAAGAGACCGAGCCAGGGGAGAGGAGAACTGATTAGAATAGAATAGACCTGACCGGACCGGCCCCTAACAAAACAGCAGAGACTACAACAGACCAGACCCAAACACAACTGTACAGAATAGACCAGAGCAGAAAAACATATATAGACCCAAGCGGGACGGACTTGACCAGAGCAGGGCGGGCTGGTACAGAATAGAATACACCAGGACACAACAAATTAGAGTACACCAGAATAGACCTGCACCTAACAGGATAGAACACAACAAAATAGACCATGACAGCCCAGAATAGCGGTGAGTAGAATGTGCTAGAACACACCACGATGCAACACAACAGACCACAGGAGAATAGAATGCAGTAGACCAGACTAGACTGGAGCGGACTGGGCCGAGACGGAACAGAATAGAGTGGCATGATAGAATGCAACAGATTAGCCACAGGGAGAGCAGCATAGAGCAGACCAGACCCAAACACAAGAAAGCACAACAGTACACATGAGACTGGCACAGAACAGAGCAGAACTGCCCAGAACAAAACACAGGATTGTTGTTACAACACAGAACAGACCTAAGCCCATTAGACCCACGCGGAGCAGGACAGACCAACCATCTGATTGGCACAAACTAGAGCAAACCCCAGCTGAGCAGCCCAGAGGAGAACAGAGCGGAGCCGAACAGAACACTTGCTTCAGAACAAAATAGAACAGACCTGAGCAGACCAAAACGCACTGGAATGCATTCAACCCCAACAGAACAGGACTGACCAGAACAGACCCCACCAGAGCAGAACAGACCAGACAGCTACAAACTACACATGAAGAGAGCAGAACCAAACACATGAGAACACAACAGAACACATAATAACCTAGATCAGGAAAGAACAAACCGGGGGGGGAAACACCAGGACCAGGGCACACCAGAATACATTAGTTCCTGTGGAAGGGACCTACACCAATCATCACTTGTGGCTGACTGAGCCCTTCAGGCCTGACCTAACCATCAAAGCATGTCACTAAGGGCGATGCCCCCTCGATGCCGACAGGCACGGGACATCAGCCACCCCTCCGGGAAGCCCGCTCTGCTGTAAGAATGCCCTCTCGGGAAAGGCACGTTTCCTACTATCTCATCGGAACCTCCCCCGACATGGCACGGCTCCGCTCTTGCGCTTTCTGACGCCGTGCACCAGCGAGGCCTGATTGTCGCCTCCCTCTCCGCTTCCCTGCCTTGGTAAGCTCCTCCATCCCTCCACCTCCCCTTTTTCCACGCTAGGCAAACCTGGTGCCCTCCGCCCCTCCTCGCAGCGCCTGCCCTCTCGCCAGCTTCGGTGCCCTCCTTGGGACACCTTCCTACACCTTAACATCCTTCTGAGAAGGCGAGGCCCAGAACACAATACATGAAGCAAGGCCGTGCCAACACTACCCATGCGGGTGACCGGCACCCTTTCCTTGGGGCCGCTCTCCTCTCCCAGTCTACACTCACCTCTGGTGCTACTCCATCCCGGGTGCAGACCCCTGCAATGGCTCCTGTTCAATTTCACACCTCTCGTGACTGCCCATGTCTCCCATCTCTCTAGATTCCTCTCTCAGGCCTCCCGTCCCTCAAGATGGGCAACAGCACCATCCAGTTTAGTATCATCATCATCATCATCATCATCACCACCACCACACTTGGCAAGGGTGCATTCCCCTCCTGCATCCAGATCATTGATAAACACTTTGAACAGACCTAGCCCGAGAAGGGGAGCCCTGAGCAACGATGCCAGCGGCCCCACCATTCAGCCGGCCCTTCGCCTGGCACACACCTGCCCCCCTCGCCGTCTCCCCA